GAATGAATGAATGAATGAATGAATGAATGAATGAATGAATGAATGAATGAATGAATGAATGAATGAATGACAACTTTATTTAAGTCTCAGTCTTAATAACTGAGGACAAGTGCTCTACTAATTGGGGGGACTAAACTATAAAGTCAAATGTATTCACCTAAGATTTAGTACTAAGATGATTTTGTTCCGGCGGAAAAATTTGATGGATACCAAGTTCTTGCTCTAGGGTACTTACTATCCAGTTTTCATACAAACTCGTTAGAAAAACAAAATCGCTATAAAAACCGTTCCGGGGTCTCAGACTTTTGTCAGTTCATCATGCTGAAGACTTAACAGATGATCAACCAAGTTGTAGAAAATAAGTAATGAAAATGAAACCCTGTAACCGTTGAGATTGTCAATTGTGTACCGACTAACACTACTTTACTATTCGTTCAGGTAGCCTACTTCATATCTGAGTTGAAATCCGCTGGAGATGATTCACTTGGAGATGCCACGCCAGCGCCTTCTCTTTCATCCCCGGCTGTTCCCTCACCATGGTCAAGCCCTCGTAAAGTAGAAAGTCCTCATCCTGTCAGAGACGAATATCAGTGTTGTAAAACAGTGGTGTTACCTGGGGCATCTTGTTTGTTCGTCACGTTCGATCCAAGGTGTGCCACACAATACGAATATGATAAGGTAAGGCAAGTCATATCACTGACGTTTATAGAAGACCTGTTAGTTTGCCTGCATAGAAAGCGCTTCTGCAAAGAGAAAGATAGTTGGTATAACAAAAGTTGTGAGGTTTGAAGGCAAGGAGAGTGATGTAACAGAAGCACAGACTTTGCAACCCCATCCCCAAATTGCATAAAAGTTAGTCTTTGCAGATACAAGAGCAGTTACCTATCACGTACTAGCACAATGTATAATAGGGTTTATACCATGGATTTTTCTATTGCTTTCTAGTTGACCAAACAACTGGGCAAAACTCGCGGTAACAATTAATCGGTGGCCTCGCAGTTAGTGCGCTCGTCTCAGGATCAAGCGGTCCGGGCGCAAGCCCTGGGTGGGGACATTGTGCTGTGTTCTTGTGCGAGACATTTTACTCTCACAGTGTCTCTCTCCAGCCAGGTGTATCTATGGTCACCGGCGATTTACCACCATCCCATCCAGGGGTGGTAGAAATACTCCTAGTCACGTCGAATAAGCGCGCACCCCTCATTTGTCGACGTTACGTTGTCAGACATCGAGGAGGCAGCACTAGAGAGTTCGCTAATTGCCCTTAGTGACAATGTGATTGAAATTGACTAAGTACTACTTACATATTTCCCTCAAGACCAACTGACTTTTTTTTTTTTTTTAAAGAAACTTTTAATGAACAGTTAAAATTCTGCTTTGGTACATCTTCACGTTTTGTTCTTATTTATTATCTTGTTGCAAAATAAACTTACTACTTACTGAAACTGGTGAAAATGTAATAAGCGCCCGCCTCGAATAAGCGCCCACTCTCAAGGTCCAAAAATTTGATAAATGCCCAGGGCGCTTAATCGAGTAAATACGGTACTTATTCAATACCAGCTGTTACGTTTAACCTGTATACCACTGTCATACTTACCCTATGTATTACAAGTGCTGTTGATAACATGTGTGATTTCACACATCTTCAGGTGATTCTGTATGCCGGCAAGACAACCACTGGTCGTAAAGTAGCGGAGTATGGTGGTAACTCGTTCGGTGTGGGTAGTAGAGGAGTGATACGATTAGGTTGGCCCAAGGAACCTGTCAAGGTGGAGGGTGACGCAGTGACCATCTCCTTTCAGTTGAAGAGTACACGAGAGCGTAACACTCCTGACAATGCTGTGTGGGGATTTAGCTGCATTATTAGCACCAAGGTACAATAACGAAAAAGTTTCCTTTCTCAAAAATCTCTTTATTAACCTTTTGGTTCCTGAAGAAATTTCTCCAGCAAATGTTTTTGTAATACATTATAAGTACATTCATTTATATACATGACACAGGCTTATGCAACTCTGTGAGCAATTGGGGTTAACACAAATGTAGTTCAAATTGCATCTAATGTTAGTCATAGTTGTTCAAGAGATAATTTTATAAAGAAACTGTTGCTTTGTGTCAATGAACAAGTACAGTACGTGTAGCTGTTAAGGGGCGAATTAAAGGGTATTAATAGTTTCCTTACAGCATTCCGTTTTCGTTTTAGGAGCACGATGAAAAATCTTCCAAGCTACCGTTCTTTGACGACTTGTGCCTTGGCCTCTCTGTGCTCACCCACAGCTTGCTGAACGTTAGGTACCAGGGTCCTCCAAGTACTGAGGCAGAAGATGCCTGTCACCATCTGCTCGATTCGAAGCTACTGCAAAGGTACGGTATACATTGAGAGCTCGTCTGAACTTGCTCAGGAACTGACGGTGGAAATCATAGCAAAGACCCATAAGACTAATGGTCTCTGCATGGTTTCGTGAGATGTATTCCTTGTTGATCGAACTATTTCTTCGTGTTGAAGCATCGCAAAAGTTAACGTTTCATATTATCCTATTAAGATCTAGTTTAAACACTTGACGGCTCTTTGGTAGTTGCCACTAGGGCATAGTGACGTATTGTATTGTCCGTATTTCTTAGCTTCTTTTGTGGCAAAAGCCGCGGGCGATATTAATTGTTGGACGCTTAATTCTGTCTGTAAAAGGTATAATCCTTTCGAGAAGAGTTTAAAGCCAAGTGGACTAACTAAGGATTTCCAAAAGCACTTCTATTTTAATAGTCGAGTACTGAGTGCTACAAGAAGAGGCGTGACACAAGTCACGCTTTTCTATTCCCGCTTGACTGCCGATAGAGTGACTACTTGCGTCCTGTGATTGAGGTATTTCTTTTTTGTCACGCCAGGTGTGTTTGGCCGACTACTGCCGAGGGAGCGTCGGGAACTTCCGGGATTACCATTACTGTTGAGTCAGAAAAGGGTTCCACTACAAGTCTTGACAGTATCGTGTCCAAACCGAGCTCGAAACTTTCTCCTGAACTTTTAAAACGTCTTAGAGGTGCAGCAGGTAAGGGTTGTTCCTAAGGGAATAAAGCGCACAGTCAGGGCATATTGTTTTGATGTAACACCAATTTCTCAAAACGAATATGTAAAGGAGCATGTAGTAAACATGTAGGAGAATTAATGCTAAGAACTGATACCCTGGCTCACTGTCTTAAGTCGTTTATTTTTTCAGTTTTCTGGAAATATGAGCTCCTTCAGCTAAGAAATTGAGAATGTGTTCAAGAGGACTTTTTATCCGACTTACAATTCCTCATTGAACATGTTTAACAGTACTCCTTCATCCATCAGATGTATGACCCTGTCGTACCAAGCGCAGTTGTCTTTCAAGAAAATGATTTCAGTAACAAAACTAAGCCTTAATAGTAATGATAGAAACCAAGACGTTAAATTTCATATTTTACCTGATCCACTCAGGCGTACCAGCCCCCACCCTCCGTCCCAGTCTGCGTCAAGCCCTCCAGTCTGACGCCATCGAGGAAGTGGTGCTGCGGTGTGTCATCAACCACCTGAGGCTCACCAAGACTGTGCATGGACTGGAGCTTCTCCAGGCGACGGAGACAGAGGGCGAGGAGTACAGGCACCTGTGTGGCGTGATGAAAGATGTGTTCAGTCGACTGAATGGTCTGATCAGACAGCTTCAGAACATGGCGGAGATGGAACAGAAGTGGGCTCACGAGCTGGATGATGTGCGTGAAGGAATCCTACAGCCGAGTGCTGCCTTCTTCAATGACTTCCACTTACAAGAGGTACACAGTCTCCTCCTTGATTGATTTAACTGTTGCTTTTGTCCGATTTCAGCTACAGTGCGTCTGTCAAAGGGCAAAGAGAAGGCAAAGTATGGTGAAACACATAGTTGTAGTAACCCAGATTAGAACACGGCAGCAACAGCAACGTAGCAATTAGCACAGGGTAGTAGAGTACCTGCCCGTGTAATCTCCCTGCCTCCCTAAAAGAAAAAGATGCTTGTTCACAGGTTATTGTCCGTGCAGGCACGAGAAACATTTAACAATATCTGGGCTTGTTCTTAGGATATGCTGCCATGATATTGTTACAAGCATTTATCTACTATACCCATGCAAATGTCTTCATAACTGTACTGAGCTTATACCGGCATCTGAAAGGTGGCAGGTTTCACTCAATTGTTATGCTGTGAATACAAGTCTCCTTGTCTTTAGTGAACTCGTTCTATTAGCACTTTGTATGTTAACTTTGGGTTAGATTTTACGAACGACCTCTGGAGAAAGCGCTCTGCATTGCATTGTTTTGTCTTTCTTTTACAGGCTAAGAGCAAGGAACTAGAGTTGCTGTGCTCTCTGAAAAATGTTGAGTTCGATCCAATCGAGCAGGAACAGTCTGTGGGCAAACTCATGTGAGTGCACTGAATAGACCCTATTCGTATTTTCCGTATTGGACTGGAACTAGCTTGCAACTGAGGCTATGCGGGGGGGTTTTTCAAATGCAAATTACATTAATCTCTTTTTAATGATATTCTCCCGCATGAGCCTCCATTTCAAGCTAGTTCCAATCCAATGCCGAGAATACGAATATGGTCTATTCCAACTGAAGTATTTATTACAATACCATGAAAACCCTAGCAACTGTTTGACATTATTTGTTTTGGTTTGAAACATTTCTCGACCTTACTTTCTACAGTAACCCTCCCTCTCTCAAGAATGCTAAAGTTTGAAATAAGAATGAAAGCCTAAATATTCACCAACAAACAGCTGGGAATTCACCATTCATTAGTTTACTGCTTGAATACTGGACACAATAAAGCATCGGAAAATCAAGCCTAAATTTTTTCTCACTTCTACATGTTTCTCTGAAATCTCCTCAGACAACGTTTGGAAACTGAAGCGAAGACAGAACGCCAAGACATTGAAAACACATTGGACGTGATGCCAGTGACCAAGAAGTTTCTGTTTTCAGTCATGGAGTGTGCGGAGTTGCTGTGTAATGTGACAATCGAGTCCAGTGGAAATAAAGTCGCTCCTGAGAGGAGTATCTCGCACTGCAGCTTTGTACCTGATCATGGACAACAATCACGACAGTGTATGTGTGTTGACCATGCTTGTTCCTTTACGTTTGAATATTATCTTCTTTGGTGTCTTTTTTATCTTAGTAAACTACTATTTTCAGGTTTTCTTCAATTTAAGGGTTATTTCGCGTGTTGCCCAAACAACTCAAAATGAGTTCCTTTAACTATATATTAAGGCTATTTAGTTTATCACAAGAAATGACTAATCGTGGCATTCGTTATTTGAAAGTTAACTCGGCCGGAAAGGTAACGAACCCTTTTGCAGCAAGTTTGACCGCGTTGAAGCACACATCACGTCAAAACGTTGTATTTGAAGTAATCTCGCATTCAGATCTCCTTAATGCTTGCATCCTATTGTTAGTGGCTACTACTCGTTTCAATTACGTTCTTCTGTTTACTGTCCAGTCTTCTTGTCGTTACCTCTTAACAAGCTTTCCTTTTCTTTTTACCTGTTGACAGCCACCTCCTTGAATCAGCTTCATACTCCTTCCTCACCGCTCCTCAGTCGCTCACTATCAGCGCCGTCCACTCTGGATCAGTCGACTACAGTTCAAGAAGGCATACATGACGTGCGCAGGTTACAACGCTGGAGAGCGAATGTTCAAAAGAAGCACAGTCGATGTTCTGCTGAAGATCAGACGGACTGTGATGTGAATGTGAGGACTTTTGTTTCAACTGTGGCCGAGATTTTCACTTTTATTGGCAGTGATCCCGATAAAGCTGTAAGTAGGGAGTCAATGTTGTGCTCTTTGATAGGCTGCATCTTCCTGTTTTGAAACTTAAATTTTGAGAATGGGACAATTAAGTCGAGTGTTGGACTTAGGGTAGACAATTGTTCATCATATATATGCTATTGTCAGCGAACGTTTTGAGGAGAACTAGACTGCTCGCGTGGGTCAAATTTACCTTTCGTATCGTCTTTTTTCATTTGAATTTTATTATGGTTAAATGCAAAAAATGGCAAACTCTCGGAATGTGAAGGTAAGCCCATAGTCGGACAGACAGATTGGCTTAGAGAAAAAAGTAGAGGTATGTCTAACATTTACTAGAAGCGTGGTTATTTTTTACGGGCTAACAAGTAAAATGAACGACTTTGCTTTTGTGTGTTTTTTCAGGTGGGAGTGGTTGATGACTGACAGTGTATGTCCTATTGTGTCAATGTTTGCGTCATAGCAAGTTTTGAAAATAATGTGATGTTGTTTTTTTGTGTAATGCGTTTTCCCTTCTTTCTCTTTTCTTCTCCAGGTGACTTGTTCCAGTTTCCTCGCTGCAGCTCGTGCCCGGAATGAGCGGGGTCTGCATCGAATTCAAGCTCTTCAGTGTATGATAGAATTAGTAACAGTTTGTTCTCGGATTGGAACTCATGTGCCTCACCTTCTCGCTTCTGTGGCCTCCATTCTCGCGCAAGGACCACGGTTGGTTTCCATTCCTGTTTCCGTCCCTTTAGAATCTTATGTTTCTAAATTGCTGCCAGCGCCAGGCCAGCTATGAAGGTGCTTTGTGTTTCCCTCTCATGTTTCTCACCATTGTTTCCGCCACAGGACTGAAGAGCTTAAGTGCGGAGGCATGGTGCGAGAAGTGCGTGACATGTTCTCGGCTGTAGTGCAAGCGGTGGTCCAACTGGCTTCCTCTGAGCCCACAGTGTACCGTGACAGCGTTGTGGTGCTCTCTGTCTGCCCATTCTCCTGGCACGAGGAGCGCTGTGTTATGAGAAGTAGTCTTGTGTATCTGCTGGATAAACTGTGTTCTTTGAGAAGCGAGAAAAGTGCCACAGCAGTCAATCTATCGGCCATGGCTTGGGCCGGTTTTCAAGTCCTCTTGGATCGAATTGTGCAGTGGGAGAATGATAAAGGTTAGATTTATTGGACTCAATGAACGTAAAACTAAATTTTACCGATTTTACCAAGATTATCTCGTAGTGCTCGGATTTATTTTTGTTTTTTCACACTTGTGAAATGATACGTTACATCTTTCCCACATGTTTGTAAATCCACGCGAAGACACTTCAAGAAATTTGGGTGAAAGGTGAACTGACAGTGTGTGAACTAAGAATGTGAGGGTTTATAGAAGAAAAAAAAAGCTAATTGCAGATAATTATAAGATAGTAAAACGGTAGCAAGAGTCAAAGGTTAGTGCCAGAGGTTAGTGTTCGTGTTAGAGGTTAACTGTTCAATGGTTGTTGCTTGTTTGTTCAGATTACCGCGCTGGTGCAATCGAGTGGTCAGGCTTGGCTCATCAGGTGTCCAGTCTCTTATCAAACTACTTGAACTGTGTGTTGGAGGAGAGTCGTAAGGATGGTGTTACTGCCAGAGACGCCCTGCAGTATGTCATGAAACTGTTACACGGCATCAGCAGGTGACTTTGGTTATAGAATTCAAATAGTTTAAGAATTATTGTTGCGAGGCTAAATCAGCCCTCGAAGCAAAGTGTGGCAGTACATTCAAGGCGTAAGCGGAATCTTGATTGATTTGTCTTTGGCCGGACAGTGAAACTGACTTATTCTGAATTTGCGCGCTCTACTTTCGCGAGACACTTCGTGCGGCATAAATTCGCAGTTTGACACTTTCTTTGTAGCAGAGGACCCATTCGCCTTAAAGGCGATTTCCAGTCCGCACTGCGCAGTCTCAGCACCCTAATGTTGTCTCACAGTCGATGGAATGCGAATCGATGTTGTTCGTTACGAACCACCTACCTCATCTTTGAGGCCTTTCAAATTCTTTTTCCAACACGGTCATTGATTTTTACAACTACGAAGTTGTCTCATCAAGTGATATAAGAAAGAACGAAGCATAAAGCTTCGGCCGCTTCGCATTCATAACGGCGGTTGTTTTCAGTGAAACTTTGAATTTACTTCATGTAAGTAGTTGCGAAATGTTTACATTTTGTGATGTCTTACATGAAACA